TGTTTGATGGGGGGGACAGTGTAGAGGGAGTTTTACTCTGTATCTAACCCCGTGCTGTCCCTGTCCTGGGAGTGTTTGATGGGGCGGGGAGCAGTGTAGAGGGAGCTTTACTCTGTATCTAACCCCGTGCTGTCCCTGTCCTGGGAGTGTTTGATGGGGGGGACAGTGTAGAGGGAGCTTTACTCTGTATCTAACCCTGTGCTGTCCCCGTCCTGGGAGTGTTTGATGGGGGGAGGGAGCAGTGTAGAGGGAGCTTTACTCTGTATCTAACCCCGTGCTGTCCCTGCCCCGGGGAGGGGGGCTCACTGCATTTCGAGACTCCTTCCCACTGCAGCGTTGTATGTTCCAGGCCTGCTTCAAATCCCATTCCTGGTGACCTCAAAGAGGGAAGTAGGTCGGCCACAAGAGTCGTCGGAACGTCATTGGCAAACAGGATTGAGGAAACTCCCGAGGTGTTTTTAAACATATGTCCAGAAGGAGAGGGGGGTCACTGAGGGATGGGGAAGAGGATTTGCATCTGCGTGGAGCCGGAGGTGAGTCCCTTCAGCGATATTCCGCGTCGCTATTCCCAACGGGGGTACAATATAAGCTGGAGAGGAGTATGTTGATCTTCCGAGAGCCGTCAATACAAAAATCCATGAGGAGTTGGTCATTTTTGAAAACGAGTCAGTCGGACAAGGCCGGGGATCTATCCCAGAATTGTTATGGGGGAGGCGATGGCCTAGTGGCGTTATGGCTGGGCCATCAGTCCAGAGACTCGGATAACGTTCCGGGGACCCGGGTTCGAATTTGAATTCAGTAAGATATCTGGAATTCAGAGTCTCATGATAAATCCGTTGTTGGGAAAACCCATCTGGTTCCCTCATGCCCTTTAAGGGAAGGAAACTGCCATCCTTACCTGGTCTGGGCCTACGTGTGACTCCAGACCCACAGCAATGTGGTTGACCCTGAACTGCCCCCCCCACCCGGGGCAATTAGGGATGGCGCAATAAATCATGGCCCAGCCGGCGACGCCCTCATCCTGCAAGGAAATACCGACAGAAGAATATCTTGGGCCTTGTGATGGAATTTTGTCTCCTCCTTGGTCATGGGAGAGGATCAGGGAATGGCCGGTGTTGTCCTCTCGCTTATGTGGGGCAACGGGGACATTCCAGGAAATTGCAGGCCGGTGAGCGTTATACCCAGTGGTTGGGAAATTATCGGAGAAGTTTCTTGAGGATAACTTTTGGAAAAACATGGATCCCGTTGGTGACAGGCAGCTTGGGAAAGTCGTGTCTCGGAATTTTCTGAGGCAGTGACGATGAAATTTTATTGGTCAGTGCGTTGAGTATAGGGAGTTGGGAGGGTCATGTTGCGGGTGTACGGGACATTGGTTAGGGCCACTTTTGGAATACTGTGTTCAATCCTGGTCTCCCTGCTACAGGAAGGATGTTGTGAAAGGTGCAGGAAAGATTTACAAGGATGTTGGAGGGTTTGAGCTACAGGGAGAGGCTGGGGCTATTTTCCCCGGAGCGTCGGAGGCTGAGGGGGTGACCTTATAGAGGTTTATAAAATCATGAGGGGCATGGATAGGGTGAATAGCCCAGGTCCTTCCCCCCCAAGGGGTAGGGGGAGTCCAAAACTAGAGGGCCATAGGTTTAAGGTGAGAGGGGAAAGGGACCTGAGGGGCAACTTTTTCACGCAGAGGGTGGTGCGTGTATGGAACGAGCTGCCAGAGGAAGTGGGTGGGGGCTGGTACAATGACAACATTTAAAAGGCATCTGGATGGGGACATGGATAGGGAGGGTTTAGAGGGATAGGGGCCAAATGCTGGCAAATGGGACTAGATTAATTCAGGATATCTGGGTCAGCACGGACGGGTTGGACCGAAGGGTCTGTTTCTGTGCTGTACAACTCTATGGTATAAATGTCAATTAGTAGGGGACTTAGGTTTAAGGTAAAAGGGCGAAAGGAGATGTGAGGGGCAGTGTATTTTTACCCAGAGGGAGGTAAGTACCTGGAATGTCCTGCCAGAGGAGCTGGATACAGTAGGAAACATATAAGAGGCATCTTGACAGAAACATGAAACACACGGGGAATAGAGGGATACGGACACCTTAGAGGTAAAAGGGTTTCAGCTTAGAAAAGGGTCACGTGTTGGCACAGGCTTTACTGTTGTGTGATTGTCATCGAGATGATCGTAGTGAGGTGTCTCCGGTTCGAGGCGGGGGGGCTACCCTCAGAGGGGTTCCAGATGGGGGCGTGAGCACCTCCCCACCCCCCCCCCCACAACGTTACCTTTCAGCCACTTCGAATCGTACTTGACCGTACGGAGGACGGGGTCCGGCCCGAGACTGCGGTAGATCACGGCGTCACTGGCCAGAAAATCCGCCATCGTCGCTGAGTACAGGTTCCCATCTGGTGGGAGAGGGAATGGCATGAGGAGAGGGAGAGCACTCTGACCCCTAACCCCCCCCCAACCCTGTCACCCCCTCCCTATCTCTGTCACCCCCTCCAACCTCCTCACCCCCTCCCTATCTCTGTCACCTCCTCCATCCCCTACACCCCCCCATCTCTGTCACCCCCTCCATCCCCTACACCCCCTCCCTATCTCTGTCACCTCCTCCGAGGTGTCTGTTCTCCTCCAATCCCGGTCTCGAGTGTCCCACCCCTGCCCCCAGCGTTGATTCCCATCGCTTCGTCATTGGGGCTGGGCCTTCAGCTGTCTTTGGGTGGAGGGGGTGGGAGCATGAGCTCAGGAGTTCCTTTCCTAAACATCTCCCCCCTTTCCGTCTCTCTCTCTCTCTCTCTCGTTCCCTTGAGATGCCCCTCAAAACCTCCCTCTCTGACACTCCCTCCCCCTCTGACATCTCTGCCAAGGCCCTAGGGTCAGCTTGTGCATGGTTGACCCCACCCCCCAACCCACCCACCTTGGGGTCACCTTCCCAAGGTGCACCTCTAGTCAACCACCTCCCCCCTCAACCCCTCCCCCAACTCGCACCCCACCATTGCTCCCAGCCGACCTGGCTCCTGGCTGCTCCTCATCATGGGATCTTGCTGTGCGTCGGTTCAGAAGCCTCTGGCGAGCAGCAGAAACGACGGGCCGGAGTGTGAGGTTGGCGCGGGATGGGGCGGGTCACCCCAAGGCCACCTCTGGACTCCCTCCCACCACACTCCCTGCCCTCCCCCCCACAACCCCCCCCCCACCCCCCCCCCCCAGAACGTGCCACCCCCCTCCACCCCCTCCCTCCCCAATACATACCAGCGAAGAGGGCGATGTTGGTCTGCCTGGTGTCGAATGGGCAACGGGCCTGCCCATTGACCTCTTCACCCTCCTGCAGTAGGGACTCCATCTTGAGGGAAAGCAAGAGAGAGACCACTCAGCATCCAAGGCACAGCAAGACTCCGCGAGGGCGGTAAAGGGTGGGTGGGGGGGTTTCATGGTGGTGGGTGGGGGCGGGTGTGTTGGTCAGTCACCCTCCTGAGCCCATTGACCAACCCAGACCCCGTCAGGCCCTTCGCAAACCGCCCAAGCCCCCTGTGCCGCCCCCTGCAGGCCACAGCGTGACAAGCGCCTGTTGACATACGTTCAACCCATTGGCGCGCGAGTGGCTAAGGGGTCAAAGGGCGTTTGTCTTTTCTCTGTCAATGTCGGGGGGGGAGGTGTCGATGGCGACGGAATATCTCCGAGTAAAGATGGCGCCCTCTGTGGGACCTGGCCTATGCCGTGGGGTGGAGGGGGGGAAGCGGGGAGCAGGTCTATGCTTCTCACCCCCCAGTTCTCCTCCTTTCTCCCCGTAGCCCTTGACCCCCCCCGCCTCACCGATCAAAAACCCCTCTATCTCTGCCTCAAATACACTCAGTGACTTGGCCTCCTTCAGCAGCAATGAGCTTCACACATTCACCGCCCTCCGGCTGAAGAAATTCCTCCTGAACTCAGTTCTAAAGGGACG